GAATGAAAGGACACTTGGAGAGGTCAAGAACACAACTGAAATTTCTAAAGCTTTGATTATTCCAAGTATTTTTATGTTCGTAAGGGAATGGGCGCTGTGTTACTGGGTGTGTTCGATTGGCCTTGCCCCCACCTGAAGGCCTATCTTCAGTGCCTCCAGGGGCCCCAGGTTCAGTCCAATCCCCATCCTCACTCCAGGGCCGAGCCATAGTTGTGAAATCAAACCAAATCTCAGGTTCCTCCTCATCCAGCTCCTGGTCATCGTCCCATTCCTCTTCCTCCTCCTCCAACTTGTTACTGTCATCTCTTCCTAATGTTAGTTTGTAAACACAGTAGCAGGCACCAGCCCCAATCATGAGTCCTGCTGCCATCCAACCCACTTCCCGAGCTCGGCCCATGCTCAGGTCTGTGCCAGTCTTTGGGTAGGATGGGAGAGGGACTTGTTCCACCTGATTGAAGAGGATGCTAAGGCCAGGGTGAGTAATGGTGGAGTGTAGTCCTCTTCAGCCTCTCTCAGGTTCCTGTAGCTCTCTTGTGATGAATCTATGGTTGAGAAATAGTATCAGGGCCTTGTGCTGTGTTTGAATTTGTGCCTCACTACACAAACAGGGTAGAGTTTGAGTTATGGCTGAGAGAGTTGGATTATTAGTAACCTGTTTCTTTGTTATTTGTTTATTATTCTCTATGTACCATTGGGACCAACCATTATGCTTTCAGGCCCTACAGAAAAGGGCAGGAGATAGGGCTGTGCTATGCTATCCAGGAGGGTGGTGACATGGAGAGGCAAACCTTCAGGTAGTCTCCTCTGTCACACACCCCCACCTACAAAGCTTCACAGGCAGTTTTCCCCACCAACCTCTACCAAAGTCAGGTAAATTCCTTCTTCTTCCCTTGTCTTCGGTTGTCAGTGCTCCTTCCACAGAGATTGATGGACAGTCTGGCAGAAGGACAGATGGAAAGACAGATAGCCGGCTTTGAAAAACTGAAAGTGTGGTTGGATGGATCAGCACTGAGAACACAGGTCCTAATACCTGCTTTTCTGAATTTTCAGCCTTTGACTTTAAAATATTTTTCACACCCTCCTGAGTTTTCTAACGGGGGTTTCCCCCCTTCCCCCCATATCATCCGCCATTTCCCCAGCAAAGGCCGCCACACCCCTTTCCCTGCACTGAGATGGGAGGGGGTGTGGAGAAAGAAGGGGCCAGGAGAGGGCGACTCGACCAGGCCCGCGCAGTTCCCAGCCCTTCCTCCTCCGCCACCCCCATCACCAACCCCCACCCAGGGTCCAGGGCTCATCCCACCCTCAGACCGACCTGCACGGTCCCAAGGCAGTTTGCTCCTTCCCTCAGGACGACTTTTGAGGCGTCCTATGGGCCAACAGACCTACAAACCTGCAAACAGACAGGGAACCCAGGGGACGGAGTGTTTGGTGGACGGAGCAGCACTCGGGACACGAGTGCCCTAATTGTGGCACCTTTCTTTGGAGTCTCTGGAACCGCCATTCACTCCTCTAACCACCCGCCCAAAGTCCACCAGTTCTCTTTACTAAATGGGCACGAGGGAGGGGGGCGCCGGCATTTAGAAAATAGGCGAGAAGGGGACACAACCCGTATCAGCTCGAACCCGAATTCGTGACGCCCTTGGCCCTCTCCTACCCCCGCCGCCTCTAAGCAGAGCCCAGGCTCCTACCGACCTCGCGGTCCGGGACTAGTTTCCTTCTTCCTCCACAGGCCTGCAGAGTAATAGGGGCTGGTACCCAGATGGAGGCGATTAGCAGGACTTCTGCTCTAGGCAGCTCTTGGTCACGTGACCACCACGTCACGAATGAGCTCTGGCCCCCAATTTCCACTCCCACAAGCAGTGCGGCAGGCGCCAGCCTGCCCCGTACCTCCCCCCTTCACACGGGGCCCTGTCACTCTTTTCCTCTATAACAATACCGTTAAGCCAGACGTGGCCTTGGCTCTCTGGTGGTCGAATTTGCCTTTTTCTAATTACACGATGGGGCAGCATCTTTTCCTGGGTCAGCTGTTACTTATACTTCTTCTGGGGGGAAATTTCTTATCTTTTCCTTGGCTCTGAAACTCCTGCTCCCATACCTTCTTTTTCTACTCCTTTGCACATCCGGTTTCTGCACCAAAATTCGGGGGTTTGGGGGGAGTTGCATGAAAGGAAGCTCAAGTAGTTGTGAGGTTTTTATTAATATTTTTGATACATTTATGTTCTATTTCATGCTTTCTTTTTTATTGACTCAAGCTACACTATTTTGTAACCAGAAAATATAATAAATCTATTTCAGTTGGAGAAAAAAGAATTTAAGTTATGTACATATGTAGATACATATATATGTAATAAACAAGATTTTCCAGGTAATAGGAAGACCTCATTGATTTGATTAAGTTAATTTATACCCTGTTGAAAATATTTTCTACTGAATTCACAGGAAATAGCAGGTTTCAAACAGCATATTAAAATTTAAAAACATATCCTTGCAAACAAAACTAGTGTGCTTTCAATATGATTTATAGATTGATGGATAAAATGAATGTATAGTGAGGTGGTCAGTGTTTTAATCGTGGTCATTTTTGATACATGAACCACTCTCCCTTTCTTTGGCTGAACTCATAGTATTAAGTGTCAGATGGCTGAGAACTTCATAGAAAATTGCTGAATGGCTTTCCTTCTGGCTTCAAAGGACATACTTTATGCAGACCCTAAATTCAGATTAATCTTACTGTTTAGATGAACTTTAGAAATTAGTAACTTCACAGATTAGCCTGTTTTTCACCCAAAAGTCTTTATTCAAAATCTATTCTCAAGTTTTGTAGTGTAACCCATAAGAAATCCATAAATTAAAGAATTCCCTGTTATCCCATTCACTGATGGAAATGAGGCCTAGCAGGTGGAATGTTCATTTAATCACAACATTGGTGAGATATCTCTGGGATCTGTTGTTCATGTACTATATGTCACCTTAGCAGCGGCTTGTGTTCAGCACCTTCCAGTGTAGATAGTGGTGAGGGTCTGTAAATGAAATCTTTGTCATTTTTACCTCACAAAAAGCGCAGTTTACAGGATCCCAAGCAGTCGCCAGGAGAAAGAGGCCTTTTCACTCGCTGCCTTCTGTGACAATTTCACTGTACCACCCATACAAGCACCTCAGAATAATCCCAGAACTCAGGGACAAAGTATGCAGAAACTAGTCTCCAGACATTCAGCTGTCCCTGCCAGGGAGTCATACTCTAAATATAGACCCTTCAGGCAGCTTCTTTCTTAGAACATTGAAATAAGACACCCCAGCAGGAAGCTCCCCTTGTAAGGGGCCCCTGTGTGTGGGAGGCCCTTTCAGGAGGTGAGTCAGGGAGCCCAGAGTGCCTTGCTGGTGAATATTCAGAAGTCAAGAGCACACCACAACTTTCTGGTCTTCCTCAAAACTTTTGTAGTCCAAATTCCTTCACCAGTATTATGCCATTTCTCTCTAAAACCCTTACAGCATTTCTTTCGCATCATCTCCTTATACTGTTCTTTTTGTCTCCCTTTATTTTCTTCTAGACGAGTGAATTCCATTTATGGAGTTTTACTAACAAATCTAACTGTTCATCATTCAATTTTTGGCTGCTAAGTACTTATATAAATGGCTTTTGCTTGTTTTGACCATATACATTAGAAAGAACTTAGGAGTATGTAAAGCTTAACAAAGCTTCAAGGACAAAAGCGCCACTCTTACCTCTCCTTACTAGTATAAAATATCTCCCTCCCCTACTTTGGTATGTTTTCCACTTATTCCAACATATAACTATCCTGACCGTCATTTTCCCAGTCTGTCAGACCTTTCCTGTTTGAGTCCACTCCATCTCTAAAACTTCCTATAAAACATGGGAATGATAACCCTTTCAGTTATCTTACTCCTTTGTCATTCAGATCCACAATTCTTACCAAGGAACCTAGAAACTAACATTTAAAATCTACTTTGCTCTCCATTATAACTATTTAAGGGCATCATCAACTATTTAAGGGCAGGTTGTTTGCCTGACATACCATTTCAAAAGCAAAAGAGGAAAATCCTTAAGCAATTCTTCAGACAAGCCTGTTAAAAGTTCCTGAGCCTGAAGAAGACTATGTGAAGCCACTGCCAAAAGGAACATTTTGGCTCAACTTGGTATGTAGTCACATGTGATAGGTGTCTTACAGAGTGCCCCCAAACACAAAAGGATCCCCAGATGGAAACACTAATAGGATTGTAGAGAGTGAGAAAAAAAAATTATAGAAGATTATTTTAAAAAGCTGTATTACTTTATGTACTGTGTTATTTGTTTTTGTACTAAATAATTTGTTTTAGTTAACTTTGTTTGGTTGCAAGCAACAGAAACCAAACTTGGTTAATGGAAACAAATGAGGGAATGTCGAAGATCAGGGTCAGCTCTGAAGGGTATAGGTAGGAGGAATTCACAGATAGTCTCTTCAGGATACCACAATTCTGCTGATTTTCAGTGTTTTCTTAAATCTGTATTCAAGATTTAAATTTTAGTAGGAGAGTATTGAGTTGGTCTATTTTGGGCACAGTGCTCACCCTTTTGCTGGGGAAAATGAAAGGGTATGTAAAACGTAATATGCACTTACTTTCTTTTCACAGGGATAAATGTAAATTGTTTCAGATATTGATTTGCAAGAGCCTTTTAACTACTTTGGATATTAACCCATTGTCCAGCTATGACTGAGATGCTGGGGGCCTATGTGCCACAGGATGTCTTAGTTGTACTTTTCACATTAACTAAACATTAGAGAGGTACATTTTGGAAATGGTGATGTGCAGGATTGTATTCTAAGCCAGAGTTACCTGGCTTTCCTGACAGGATTCCACAAGGCTGTATATATAGTTCAGTGTCTTGTCCTCACTGTTGTATGGTCAACCCCTGACTTTATCTGAAAGCAAAGGCCTCTATCAAGGAAAGAACCCCATTCATAGAGACTTATGTATAAATCGAGATCTGAATACCCAAACCCATGTATCTCTGCATTCTCTCCCAGTAAGTGGGACAAAAGGGAAGCTAAGTCTCAATAGGAGTGACAAATGAATAATTTACCCTGAGAAATTCAACTGTCAGGGGGTACTGGAGGTTTCTGTCAGTTTTACCAGTCCATTCTCCCTGTAGGCAAGCTACTATTTGGGAAGCCACAACCTCAGAAGGTTGCTTGGTGAGCCTGAAATCAGATCAAGGTCATTGGTTCACCTTAAGAAGTGGCTTTCAGCTAAGGAAGCTTGAAATACTCTTACACATTATGGTGATGGCTCCGCCAAGGAAAGCTGATTGTTCCATTCATCTTAGCCAAGACTCCCTCTCCCCAGACAGCACTTGGGTGGGAACTACCAATATTTTTCTCTGACTCTTCTTTTCATACATTCCTATTCTTGAATAAGCCCCACGCTGCACGTGATCTTTCTCCAAATACAGTATCACATAGCTGATTTGGTTTCTGTTTGCTAAATTTCAGTCATATCCAAGTACTTCCTCCTGGAAGTTACCCTGACAAGGATTTCTGTGGAGTTTTGCCTATTCCCAAACTTTCCAGTTTCTTGATTTGCTTCCATATTGTCTGTGGATTATAAAAGTTATACTCAGATAATAGCCTTATATCTGAACTATTAAGGAATATTCCATTGTAGATCCCATGTTCTGACATTATTTGATTACTTTTCCCCGTATAAAAAAGTTCTATCATTGCTGACAGGTGAATCACAGAGTTCACCAAATCAGTCAGTGAAATTGTTTTACACTAATTGCTAGATGCTGATTTCAGGCAATTTGGTCTCAGTGGTCTCAGTGTTTCTCTAACATTTTATTTAAAGGTGATATTTCCTATTTGTACTCAAGTATATTTTGTAATGTTCTTTTATGCTACTTACTTTGTCAGTGTGCATGCCTTTTTGGACAGATATCCACTACGTAGCTGTGATTCCTACTCAATCTTTTCTGTGTTACTGGCTTCTGAGAGCTCCACGCCTCTTTCTTGCTGACTGATGCAAGTGTAAGTGTGTAGCTCTCCTGTTTAGAAGACTGGCCTCATCAGGAGATTTATGCAATTCTAGACACTTCAATGGGCTCATTTAGGGTTTGTGTTATGTGTTAGGCCTCAGAAGACATCAAGATGATTTGGAGTGAGGTGTGTAACACTCCCCACGAATGAGAAAATGTGGGTTTTTGGAGGCCATCACCCAACATCACTCTCCAACTCCCACTCTTTTTTTTTTTTCTCTCAAATGAAAATAGCTTTATAGTATTTTTTTCCTCACAAAAGAATGCAGGTTGGGGGAGGGAGAGGGCAGAACAAAAAGAACAAAAATGTGTTAAGAAAGTAAAAAACACGCTCTCACTACAAGTCTCCTTTTCTGATGGCTTTTTCGTTTGAGATCAGGGACTAGACTTCAGAGGAAATGGTAGACATTAATAGCTGGGAGGAGGGGAGGTTAAAGGAGAGGTTGCTGTCCCAGGAGCTTAGGGGAAGGAAGAGGCAATTTTTCAAAAAGTACAAGTGGCCAGTAGCCCCTGGGGAAGATGCTGTCCCTTCCTGGTAATCCGAGGAAGGCAAACACAACTACAGGGAAATGGGGTTAGCAAAGAAGAAAGAGTAACGAGGCCTGGTATGGGGGAGGGAATAGAGGGGGGCGGTCCCTCTTCTGCCGCACTGCTGGTGGGAGGGGAAATTAGGGACCCGAGTTGGTGGATGACGTAGGTCTCACGTGACCAAGAGCTGACGTGTGCAGAAGTCCTTCTTGTTCTGGTCCTTGTTCCCGTCTGAGTACCAGCTCCCCATTGCCCTGAGGGCTAGCAGGCCTGCGGCAGAGGGAAAGAGGTGGAGGAGAAGGAAATTGTCCTGGATTCTTGCAGGTCAGTGCCTGGGAGATTCCATAAGGTGGGGATGGCCGAGGGCGTAGGGCGGAGACCGTCGCGGGTCCTGAGACGCCTCCGTCGTCTCTTCCCCTCCCCGCCGGCTTTCCAAGACATCTGTCCCGCCCGCAGACCATTTTGATGCTACGAAATGGTGAGCAGGGGGCTGTTTGGAGAGGAGCACAGAGATCCGGAGTTGGAAATCTGCTGGGAGCCGAGGCTGTAATCCGGAAAGGGAGCTGTGGCCTGGGTGTTGGCCCCCAGTCCTTCAGGACAGTGCTGGCGGAAAGATTGAACATTTGGGGAGGGGGAAGGTGCAAAGTGATGTGTCAGCAGAACGCTGAGAGTGGTTAATAGGGGTGGGAAACCTTTGACAACCAGGCCTCTGAATTAGGAAAGAGTTTCATGTTCTGGGGACTGGTCGTCCACCAAGAGCTCTAGTAGCAGCCGTTTTCCGTCTTTCTGACTGTGGCTGTGTCTTCCTGACCATGGCTCTGTGTCTAGGGGGTCCAAGCCTCTCCTGGATTGCCAGTGTTTCCGTAGGTTGCGACACTACACCAGGCAAGAGAAGAGGAAGGAAATTAACCCCAATTGGTGAAGGTCGATTTGAGGGTAAGACTATCTGGAGACCCTAAGAGGGGCGGTGGTGGGGTTAGGGAGAAGCCAGAGATGGCAATGATCTAGGTTAGGGCTGAGTCTGAGTGTCTTTCTTGTACTCTCCGGACTGTGGTGAAATGGCGTTCAGGGTGTGTGTGTGTGTGTGTGTGTGTGTGTGTGTGTATGTATGTGTGTGTCGCAGGGGCGGGGGTGGGGGTGGGGGTGGGGGTGGAGGAGAATGACAGTATGGAAACCTATCAGAGAGTTTGTTCATAATCCTCTCTCAACAGTACTTAGTCCGATGTTTTCGATCTGTCATCCTGCAGGTCTGCTGTAGCAGGTGGCACCACTTGAAGAGAGGGAGGAAGTTTCCTTGGATCAGTAGAGGTCGGTGTAGGCGTGGGGGCTGCCTGGAATGGGGGAGGGGCTGGAAATCAGCCGCAGTTGGATAAGCTCACTCAATTCTACCTTATTTTCCTAACATCCCTCCCATTTCAAGTTAGGGAAGGGGCAGGCTTGTGCATGTTTTGGATGGCATAGAGGTTAAAAAAAATCTAACAGCCTGGATGGTGAATCAGGAAAGCTACGGATGTGAACAGTCAATCCATCAAAGTCCTTAGTTCTCACCGGCTGTGGTCTCTCTGCAGATCACAAGGGTTGTTGGGCGTGGCACACCTCCAGGGAAGGGAAGAAGGGACAAACTGTCTGTCTGGAGGAGGTTAGTGTAACAGTGTCATTCCCTGGGGACACCCGAGGTTGGGGTGCTGAGGCCTCAGCAGAGACTGTGGGCTCCATAGCCTTTATCTAGGCTTGGGAAGAGGGTGGGTTAGGGAGGGTAGGGGGAGGGTGAAATGAGGAAGATACAGAGGGTTTATTAACAATCTACATTTCATACCAGCTACACATTTGTTATGCTCCCGTCCTTCTGTGCAACTCTCTGTGTGGGGCAACACAAAAAAGAAACTCAAATCCCATTTCCTTCCTCCACTCCCAGGTCCACCTCCAGTATCAGCTATTGTGTCCTTGAAGTGGCTGAAGACGATCACCTTCCACAGCCTTGCACCCAGGCCCATAGTGCTCCTCTCCCAGCCTGAGTGAATACTCTGTTCCTTGGTCCCTGATATTGTCAGGGACGATTGCATGGGCTACGCCAGGAAAGTAGGCTGGGTGACTGCGGGACTAGTGATTGGGGCTGGAGCCTGCTATTGCATTTATAGACTGACCCGGGGAAGAAAACAGAACAAGGAGAAAATGGCTGAGGGTGGGTCTGGGGATGTGGATGATGTTGGGGACTGTCCTGGGGCCAGGTACAATGACTGGTCTGATGATGATGATGACAACAGTGAAAACAAGGGTATAGTGTGGTACCCACCTTGGGCCCGGATTGGGACTGAGGCTGGAACCAGAGCAAGGGCCAGAGCAAGGGCCAGGGCTACTCGAGCTCGTCGGGCTGTTCAGAAACGGGCTTCCCCCAATTCAGATGATACTATTTTGTCCCCTCAAGAGCTGCAGAAAGTTCTTTGCTTGGTTGAGATGTCTGAAAAGCCTTATATTCTTGAAGCAGCTTTAATTGCTCTGGGTAACAACGCTGCTTATGCATTTAACAGAGATATTATTCGTGATCTAGGTGGTCTCCCAATTGTTGCAAAGATTCTCAATACTCGGGATCCCATAGTTAAGGAAAAGGCTTTAATTGTCCTGAATAACTTGAGTGTGAATGCTGAAAATCAGCGCAGGCTTAAGATATACATGAATCAAGTGTGTGATGACACAATCACTTCTCGCTTGAACTCATCGGTGCAGCTGGCTGGACTAAGATTGCTCACAAATATGACTGTTACTAATGAATATCAGCACATGCTTGCTAATTCCATTTCAGACTTTTTTCGTTTATTTTCAGCAGGAAATGAAGAAACCAAATTTCAGGTTTTGAAACTCCTTTTGAATTTGGCTGAAAATCCAGCCATGACTAGAGAACTGCTCAGGGCCCAAGTACCATCTTCACTTGGTTCCCTCTTTAATAAGAAGGAGAACAAAGAGGTTATTCTTAAACTTCTGGTCATATTTGAGAACATAAATGACAATTTTAAATGGGAAGAAAATGAATCTGCTCAGAATCAATTCAGTGAAGGTTCACTTTTCTTCTTTTTAAAAGAATTTCAAGTGTGTGCTGATAAGATTCTGGGGATAGAAAGTCACCATGATTTTTTGGTGAAAGTAAAAGTTGGAAAATTCATGGCCAAACTGGCTGAGCATATGTTCCCAAAGAGCCAGGAATAAATTCTTAATTTTGTAGTTTAGAAGTAACACACATTGTAAACTATTCCTTTTCTCCACCTTGTTTATATGGTAAAGGAATCCTTTCAGCTGCCAATTTTGAGTGATGAATATCATTGTATAATCAATGCTGATTTTTATCTGAGTTGATCTTCAGGTCTAAGCTGGATGAATGAATATCACTACCTGTTCTGAAAACATGTTTGTTGCTTTTTATCTCGCTGCCTAGATTGAAATATTTTTACTATTTCTTTTGCGTAAGTGACAGTGAACTAGTTTTTCATAAGTAAGCTCCCTCCTGTCATTTGCATTAACTTGATTTGTATATCATCAATAAAGTTGTGTATTAATGCTGAACAAAACAAGAAGAAAGAAAGAAACCAGCCTTGTCCTTTGGTTTATAATATAGTTGGAGAGGTAAGAAAAATACAAACAAATAGATAACAATATCTGGACCATATACTCATTGTCAAATGTGCAGTCTCAGAGCACTGAGGAAGCAAAGGCTTCTGTGGGATACAGTAGTCAGCTACAGATTCATGGAAGAAGAGGCTATTTAAAATGAGTCCTGAATGGTATACGTAGTTAGGGCATTCCAAGAGCTGGAGTGAGGGGGCACTAGGGTGAGAAAGGCATGGAGGTAGGAACCCTTTTCCTATGACAGTGAGGATACTAGTCTACTTAGAGTAGAGAGTGTGGGGAATGGAAGTAAATAAATTTGGAAAGCTGAACGAAGCCAGTTTGTGGAGAGTTGTTTGAATATTATCCCACTGAACACCAAGAGTCAAATATTTTTGACTAGAAAAAACAATTGGAATTCATATAGAGATTCCTCTCTCACCAACTGTGCAGCATCTGCGAGGGTGTGGATAAATGGATCCTATCAAACTCTTGTGGTAGGAATAAGTTTACACTGAGTTTGTCCAAGATTTGTGGAGGGCCATTTGGTAATACATATAAGCCTTAAAGTTTGTTATTCTTTTGTCCTAAGGAAATAATTGAATAATTGGCTAAAGGCTTTATGGACAAGGCTTTTCATCCCAGCACTGTCCAAAACAGTAACAATTGGAAACAACTAAGTGTCTAGCACACCAGAATGGTGAAATAAATTCAGGAATGTTCACACAGTATATAAGATAAATATGTTGATCCAAATCCATGTTGCCAGGAAAAGATATTCATCCTGCATTGTTAAATGAGAAAGGTAGTTTAGATAGCAGTATTCATAGAATGATTCCTTTTCCTTTTTGAAGATAATAAAACATATTTTAAAGTAGACACTAACAATTACGGAATTATAGATACCCCAAAAGTAACTGTCTGTATTTGAGTGGAAGGATAATGAGTGATCTTTTACTTTTTTATTTTTTATTCATCTTTATATTTTTATTTATATAAAATGAGTATTGGTTTTTTTGGAAATTATTGAAAAAGAAAGTGTTGGCAATGAAGCAGGTGATTGGAGCATGTACTGAGTGGAAAAAAAGAATTTAGATTAAAAATGAGATGGCGTGAAGTTTCCTCTCTGAAATGATAGATGAGTGATGAAGATGGGGCTTGTCATGAGGATGAAATTAAATACATGCAAAATACTTTGAATGTTCTGGTACAGAGCAGTTAATTAAGAAAAATTAGCACTCTTAATTCCCTAGAATGCAGGGTTGATAGTTTTTTGGGGTGGCCTTTGTTTTGTTGGGGGCATTCTGCCATGTGTCAGTGTCATTTAATAAATAAGAACAACAATAAAAGTTAGCATTTATTAAGTGACTACTGTGTAGAGTTCTGTGATTCCTCCAAGACAACTGTTAAAATAATTTCTCAAAGAATAAGATTTCCTTATTTCCAAGGGCTCAGTGTTTCTTCAGACATGATCTCACCAGCTTTCGCGAAATATTCCAAGTGAGATCAGGGAAGGGTAAAATCCTCCATTCAGTTACCAACTGCTCTCAGCCCCAGGCTTCTATATACTTACCTTAATGTTGTCTATAGTAGACAAAAGGGTCAGGAACTGGTTGGCTTAAAGTTGTTGCATACGAGGACCCTATTGAATGAAGTAAAAGTGGAGACTCATTTGACACCAGTTTTAAGGATAGATTAGGGAAAAGGCAAGTAACATTTTTTTCTTGCTCTATTATTGGGTAGGAGAAAAAGATTTTGGAGGGGAAGGCTAATACACTTAAAATAAATTGACTTTGAGGAATCTATGTGCCATCCAGGTGGAGACAGCCTATTGTCATTTGAATGGATTTAACTGGCACTCAGAGGAAAAATAAAGACTTGGGAGCCATCAGAAGATGAATGGTAATTGAAGACATGGGAGTGGATGTGGTTTCCCAGAGAGGAGGTGCAGAGTATAAGAGTGGAGGGGTGCCAAAGGAACTGTGGCAGCTGGGGAGAGAAGCACAGAATTGAGGCTGAGTGTATACCCTTTCAGACACTTTCACTATCCATATTTCTATATATTGTATACATAAAATTAGATGATACTGTATATAAATTTTCAGAGCCTGATTTAAAATCTTTCTAATTTGCTCCTAAAAAATATTCATTGAAGATACTTGAGAAAACAGAGGCAATGAGAACACACTTGTTTTCTGACCCAGATGTGTAGCTTGAACATCTAAAAAAAATTCACATCAAGCCATGTTGAATTTGGGGTGCTGAGTGATTTTTTTTTTTACTTAACCTCATTTGAAATGTGGGTGAAAATGAGGTTAAGTAATAAAAAGCCACCATGTGGCAGGGGCACAGGCCTGACTAGCATCCATCTGCTCTGGCAGATTTCTCCTCCTTCCTCCCCACTCTTTTCCCTTCTCCCTCCTTCCCACTTCTATCTTTATTTCTTCCTTCTGGGAGATCACTGGATGTATATATAGTCTCTTTGTGCTTCTGTGACCATTTAATTTCCATGACACCAGGTCACGCAACAGTGGGCATTTAATACAGAATTGTCATTGCT